ATGATTTTATTGTTTACAGTTCTAATATAAAGGCTATTAATGTGACTCCTTATTTATCTGTTTACATGTAAAGCAAAAAAAAAACAGTATGCATACAAGAATTGTACAAAATGTGTATGTAACAGAGTTGGATGTCACTTTTCTGTAATTGTATCTTTTAAATTAAATAGCTGATGTATTCTTTGACTTCATTGAACATTTTCTATATGTTTATGTGGTCAAAAAGTTAAAGCTTTGCTTGAACTTGACTAGTTTCATTATGGTCAAAAGCGGCATTAGTGTAACCGTTTTCGTGCAGATTATCATTATCACTCTTGACCTTCTCCTCCATTTTTATAACACCTTCCGTGTCTGTATGTTTCTCCCATGCCATGCCAAAGTCTCCCAAATCCTAAGAGAAGCAGAGAAAGGTTGAGTTTAGCATTCAAAATACTCAAATCCACAGTCTAACTGATGCTCTTCACCTCTTTGTCTTCACTAAAGTCTGCGTGTATGAATTTCTCCGAGCAGAAGCAGATGACGTCCTTCACTGATCGAGTCAGTCCTGGCTTTACCTTTTTGGGATCCATTGGTCCTGTAGACACCAGAATGACAGTTTTACAATACTTTCTCAACATTGAACCCTCCCTCAGTTCAACAAGACCATTTATTGAATCAAAAATGTGGTCCTCCAGAGAGCTTAAAGGGTTAAAATAACTTTGTTTGATTTCTCAGTTCTCATGAGCTTCTGCGGTATGCATTGTGCCTACAATGAGACCAGCAGTTCTTTTCATTCTTAGACAGTCCATAACTCGAAGTGTTTTGTTGCTGTCAGTGTGAGCTAATGAAATCTTGCTCTCACCCGTCAGCAGTGTGATGAGTAGACCTGCTGCTACAGTGCCAATAAAGCCCACTGCACTATAGTACAGATAGGACATGGAGTACCATGAATCAGCCAGCCAATACCTGAACACAAGACAGAGACCTTATAATGAAGGTGCATTACTACAGCATGATTACATTTGTACTGTAAAAAAATAGGACTGTCTGTTGATTTTTATATTATATTATACAAAAAAGGTTAATCGAATTCATTTATTTCTTGTAAGAATGGGTCTTTTTTACTCATCTGTGATCACTTTTATAGAATTTCCATTCTTTTTTCTAGGATAACTGAGTGCACTCTTGTACCTCATGAAATGGTTTGACAAACACAATTTTGGAGAATGGTAGAAGCACATTGCACCTGTCAGAGGTGAGAGCGCTCGCGGTGACTGATGTCTGGTTGAATCCATCAGCTGTAAGGTTGAAGTTACAGCCTGCAGTGTTGAGTTCGAGTGGACGTGTGTTATTGCTGGGTGCTGGATAAATGAAAGCCCCCACACCGACCCAGAACGAGAGAGCGATGCCCACGATCAGACCCCCAGCTGCCCCCTAAAGAGAAAACCACAAATCACAGAGGATGTGAACTATATTAACATCAGTGATGAACAAATAAAAAATGTATTAATGTTTTTACTTTTTTAAAAATATAATACACACTATAGTCCACATGCAAAGTTTTATATTGGTATTCATAATGGTGACATTATTTATACCCTTATATATTTTCATGTTTTCTAAAGAAGATTCTTCAGGTAAAAATGCTTACAAATGAAACAAGCGTTAGAAAATAAAAGCTTTTTGTCATAAAAAAATCTAATCTTGTTAAATGTTGATTTACATATACTATATAGAAAATTATATATA